AGAATTCATCCAGTATACATATATTTATAGCCATAAGTATATATGAAGATCTCCATCTCTATACAAAATAAAAATATTCTTCGCACTGTCATTTTTCTTTGATTTGTCCTCCCCATGATTAATTTTTATACCGTCATCTTACAACAGAACAGTGTGTCTTGCAGTGAACTAAAAAATAAGATGCATTTATTTTTTATATGTAAAAGTACAAAAAGTACTACTAATAATTTTTAAACATCATATTTACTAATAAATTCGGAAACTAGATCGTTTTCATTTTCTCCACGCATAGTTCCAGTAATCTCTTCATTTTCAACCATTGGTAAAAATAATTGTACAAATTCAGCTGTATATGGAGGAGCTATCGCTTCCAAGACCTAGCATTATAAATATCTATTTCGATATAAAATATCGATATAATGATTAAAAAACGATATTAATTTACCTCAGTAACAAAGTATCTGATTAAAGATACATCTGTATCTCCACGTTGCCAACATTGCTTAATATAGCATACAACTGGTACTACGCAACCTCTGCTTAGTAAATTCACCATTCTATCGATTAACATTTTTTTCATTTCCAGCTAGACATAGAAAAAAATTGTTCACATAAAAATATTGATAGCTGTTCATCTTTTAATTAATACTACATGAAATATGCTTACTTGTACAAGTATCTCTAATTCGTCTTGTTTACTTTCAAACAAGTGCACAAGTAATCTTAGTATTTTTGGATGTAACAAAGGATGACAAGCTACAACCTCATCCAGTAAAGCGAGATGTACAGGGCAATGCTCTGTACATAATTTGAAGTATGATGGTTCGGTCACAGTGCACTCTACCCATCGTATTATACCCACGCTTACAACAGGAAATCTGTAATTTATAAAAATGTTTTTTTTCCCTGATATGGAAAAAAAATATCCGAAATCAATAGTTACCGTATGCATTGATATAAAGTGTGCAACTCTGCTATTAACTCCGTCGAGCCTTTATTTACATTACATATATTGTGCACCTTCTCAATTGCCTGAATAGTCGTTTTCAACTCATCCTTATTAATTTTGCGGATATTGCTTTTTTTAGGGATTATTTCACATACACTTGCTGCATAAGCTAATAAATATATATATTTTGATTTGTGTTCAGGATTTAACTTTACGCCGGGTTTAAAAAGCGCATCGACTAGTAATTCTGCAAGAAAGAATACACAAAATTTTATTATAAAGTTCAATTTTTTGATTTCTTAAGAAAGCTAAATGGCTTAATGAAATAGTAGATTACTGTTAAGGGAAAAATTTAGATCTGGATCTGATTCTTAGTCCTACCTCTACATATAATACAAGAAATGTTAATTAGAAAAATATTCCATTAACTACATTTATACATTATCATCATTATAGGTTTAATAGCATCCATAATTATTAACTACTGATATAAAATGTATAAATACTAGTAAAATTTAATTTTATATCATAAAATTGGACTTAATTGGCATTTATATGACATTTTACATCAATTAATAACTACTAATGTTATAAACATAATTAATGGTGTCATATAAACATATGACAGTCAATGGAATATTTTTCTAATTAATTTTTTTTATATTATATACAGAAGTAAAAATCGAATTCAGGTTTTCCCCTTAACATCTGCTGTTTCATTAAGCCAACTAGTTTCTCTAAGACATTGAAAAACTGAATTAATTATAATAAAATCTGATTAATGATTAAATTAATTATAATAAAATGATAATGTATAAACATAGTCATTGTAAAATAAATAACTAAATCAAAGTAACTTATAAAATAATATATTGATTTTATTATAAATTATGATTCAGTAAAAAAACAAATCTATAAAAAAGGAAGAAAACTGAAATTCTTATTATTGTAAATAGTTTTAATTTACCTAAAAATTGTGGATTGCGCAACAGTTCAATAGGAGGTGACTCTGTTGTGGAATAATTTCTAAATAAGACTGTGATATCAGCGGGATTTAAACTATTTCTTGATAACATGGATGCTAATGCTTGACATGCTCCAGGACTGCTAGCAGCACCATTTAAGGCCATTGTTATCGGTGTGACATCATGTCGATCTTGTTGTGCGCACTTAGTGATTTCTTGGGAAAGTCTTTTCATCATGAAACCACCGCGGGATTCTTGCGCAAGGATTTGCAATAAAACTTGACTGTATACATAAGTATGTTGACCATGACACACCATTTTTGCACATTCTTGTATGCTAGACTGCCAGTTTTCTGTATTTTGAAGAAATCCAGCAATCGCGGTCTTCAATACGCGTGAAAAGACCTCAATTTGCTGAGCTGCAGTTGAAATGCTTGTAATTTCTCCTTGGAACCCAGCATCAGATATAAGTTTGATAGTAAAATTTAACATTAAACAATCTGGGTATTCCTCTGCAAGCCTATAAATAAGAGATCGCCAGGTAGGATGTTGTATCATTTCAGTTAACCAGGCAGGAGTTTCACCCTCTTCCGTAAAAATCTTGTCTGCTTTTTTAGGATCAAAATTTTTAAGTATCATATCTTTCAAATTATTTTCGACCATCGCTTGCACGTCAGTGACTTTTACTCCAGCAAGGATCAACCATTCTGCAAGAAGGTTCGCCATCTGTGCACAAGCTGTATAATTTTTGGACAACAATTCTATAACTTGTTCAGGATTGCCTCCAGCTTGAAAGTATCTTTTAAGTTGGACGAAAATGCCAGGTTCCATAATATAATCAGCTGTTTTGAATTTATCCAAGCATTCATTCAATACTTCCTGTGGATTATCGAATGTATCTTCGCCACTACATTCATCAGTGCTCCGATTCCTCTCGTCTCTCCAACCACCATGATCATCATCATAATCAGTCTCCATCTATACATTAATTGTATTAGACATTAATATATTAATGCATATACAATATGTACGTTGCATAGTTTTCTAAAATTTCAAGATATAAACCATAAATTCAAAGAACTTTTCGTCATTACAAACAATATAATTGTATTCTTACATGTATAATTGAAATAAAATTATATATATAAAAATACAATTATTTATCAGTCTTTCTTATAAATAATCCTTAATAATATATTTAAAGATAATATTACAAAACATATAAATATATAAGTTAAGAAAGATTATAAATCTATTCTTTCTAATTGAACATCTTGTACATTTCTTTTCATTTCTTTCTTCAATATGGAGAGAAAGATAAGAAAGATAAATCATGGAGAAGTTTAAACTAAAAAGAAGATACTTATGTATACTTATGTATACTTATGAATACTTATGTATAATTCATAAAATAGTGAACATCTTTATAGCAAGTTCTTTACTTCCAAATGTATTACAAGGTTTCAAATAAGAGAAATATCTGTAAAACATTACTAATAAATTAAAGAATATTATTATTTACAAACCTTTCTCAAATAAAGCAAAATGCCACGCTATACACGAATTATACTTGACTATTATAATTATACTCGACTAACGCTAACCGCGTCAAATCGTGGCCAACTACCAACAGTGCTGACACTATTGATTGTAGCGGTTACACTAACTACTAACAACTATCCACTAATGACAGCAGGAAGCTTTTCAACAAGCGATATTGGTGAGCTCTTTTATCTGATTGGCATATTTTGTTAAAGCCTAAAATAATCAATCAAGTAAAAGAGCTCCCTGAGCTGATTGCACATCTGAATATTTCCTAAGTTTCTTTATATTCTCGAAATTTCTTTTCTGAAAATACGTGCATGATACATCAAGTGCGAGAAGCAAAAAGTCCAGTCTCGTTCCTCCGATTGGCCGGACTCGATGAGGCGCGTCATACGCGCGTCACGTGAGCAAGGCATGCGCAGTCAAGCGCGATTTGAAGGAAGCCTACTGGCGCCCCAGTGGCGGTGATCGGAGTGCGGCCATATTCCCTCTCGTGGCTCTCCCTCGTCCGGAGATAAGAAAGGTGGTGCGCGGTTCCGGCGGTGACCGAATTTCCAGGGAGGCGATGGTTGCGACGCGCGTGTGCGTTTCGTAACGGTCGTCGTACAGCGACGAGTGCAGGGAGTGAGAACGGCTAATCATGCCCAGAGAAGGCGGCAATCCAGCCGGCAGGCGGCCGTCGTCGCGCAATGCGAAGCCCTACGACGCGAACAACGTGAGTAGCCACCTCGTTACTGCGACGGACGACCGCCGCAGCGTGAGGGTGCCTGTGCCCGTGACAGAGATGGGCCCCGCGCCCTTCACGCGCCCTTTCGTCATCAGGGTAACACGGCGATCGGACCGAGGACGACCGCCGACTCCTCGCCGCATGGTGTCTCGCATGCCCGTCCTTTCCCTACGACGTAGTTCCCCCGCGCAATGTCCACGGTGTCACGGTTATGTGAGTGAGCCCGATGATAACCTCTCAATTTCCTCTCTGTATTTCGCGCATGAACCGTCGTGAA